TGCCACATAAATACAGTTCCTACAGGCATGTCTCTTTAGTCTGTATTAAATAATAATACAAGTAAGTAATAAATCACAAATACAATTCAAAATCCTATAAAACATATTAAATAAAAAAAACAGCTAAACTTCAAAAAGCTGCCAAAGAAAAGAAATGAGTTCCCGTTTTCAATCTGCCCTGAGAAACCGGTGAAGTCGTTTGACCTTCTTTTGTAAACATCGTGCAGAGTCAACAACCAGATGCTCTGAGGATGAGGAACAGAGCTGCTGCATCCTCGTTTGAAAGTGCTGCTGATCTTCTTCAGCCCACAGAGGCTTATTACTCATTTCCTCCCACACTTAGTCTCTTTATTCCAGTTGATTACAGTGCGCTGTTTGTTATCCTGAAACAGTAAGTGGAATTCCTCCTCTTTGTCTTGTTGGATCCAAACAGATTAAACCTTTACTTTCACTTCACTGAACTCTGGCCTGTAATCTATTGTCTGTTGTTCCTCCCATAAAGGAGTCATGTGAAGCAGGCTGCTGGGAGAGAAGCACTTCACCTGTGACTCACTTCTGATTTCATACCTCTGTGTTATCTGTTACTCTCTGTGTTTGAGACTCTAATTAAAACTTTATAAATGTCAGCCTGTTCCCCAAACATGATTCAGATTTCTAATGAAGTGGAGCTACACCGTTCTTCCTGTCCTTACTGAGCTGGCTCTACTACACCACAGACTCACATGCAGAACTTGTCAAGTCACCTGTGACTTTATTTTTACAGCCCAGTTTCATAGATCACAAATTTAGCTCAAGAGACTTGACAATCTGTGGAGTGTAGACACCTTTTTGTCCAAAGACTGTTGAATCAGATCAGAAAAAACTCCTAACTGCTGGTTCATTTGATACTTTAATCTGAACTGAGGGAAGGCAGCTGCTGACACTGGCAATCTCTGTGTGACATGCTGTGTCCTGAACAAGCCTCTCAGGTCTGAGCATAATGATCAAAGGGAATCCTATGGCTTCAACACTGGGGGCAGCTAGCAGGAGTTTACACTGACTGTTTCAGCAAATCGAGGACATAATTTCCTCTGGTTTGTTTTGATCCCATGGGAGAAGTTCCAGTGAGAACTTACATGAACTTAGAAGTCACATGACTTTCTGTAATCGGCACTTATCACGTTCGTATGTGATTCTCCATGCAGAGTGATTTATTCTTCAGGAATGTGTGGCCCACATCCCACCAGTGATAAACTTCCTGTTCAGGCTGTGTGTGGGAGTGGGTGGGCACAGTTTCAAACCACTGTAGTAAGGACATTTTGGCACATCCTCATTTTGCTCAAAGGACCATCTCAAGACTCAGACTCAGTTTTAAGGTCCCCGTTCAGTTCAGATTCAGATCAGGTATTGATTGAGGGTTAAAGGCAGGGGGTACCGTATGTCAGCGAGGGTCCACACAAGTATAGAAAGACAAGTGTTTGTGTGGAATCTGGAAACGCTCTGATGGTTTCTGGGAATTTGACCTATTTGCTCTGCTAAATAACAAACCTGAGGTTTAGGATTATGTCTTACTTACACTGTAAAATATTTGTGTTACAAAGTATTGTAGTAGTTTTAATGTTTTTAGTTTGACTTAAGAGGAGTGCAAACTTCAGCATCAAAGTAGAAACCAAACCTTTAGAAGTTCATAAACAGGTTTTCAGAAAATTCCTAGTCAGAGACTTGTTGATCAGTTCAGAGCATGTACTCATAAGGCTTTAGAGCACCAGACAAAAAAAAACTGAGAACAAAAGAACACTTGTGTACTAGAGTCTGTTACAGTAGTTAGTTATCTAGTTAACAGTGAGTTACTGTATCTATCTGTCTGCGCTGTTATCACGGCCTGTGGCTGTGACTCTTATGACTCCGGCTGGGACACAGCAGTTGGTAGTAGTGCAGCACTGACTGCATGCAGGGTGTGTGTACTGTGATGGAGGTGCTGCTAACACATCTGTGGCCCGACGTGTGGCACTGCTCCTGTTAACAGGCCCAGTAAAGAGAAGTCGCAGCTTGGCTGCTGCAGACGCTTCCGCAGCATCACATCTTCAGCAGCATGGAAGCTGTCGCAGCTCGGTCCTTTGTGCTTCATGAGGTGTCTCATCATGTCTAGTTTCTGCTCTGTCTGCAGACTGGTGGTGCATTAGAACTGGCCTGGTAACTACTCTGATCTCCCATTTTCTAGACAGTTAGTGAAAAGGTTGGAGGTCACAGCAACTTTAATTTGTAAGGGCCCATAAATGTTGCCATTTGATGTACCAGAGTTAGTTTAAAGCTAATTTTCATCTGCAGTCACTGTCTGATTTACATACTGTATGTACATTTGTGTGTTGGCCGGAACAAAATGAAAAACCATCCGAAACATTTTTGTTTTTATTCATTAAAGTTTGTCAGATCTGAATGACACACAAACCTTCACTTTACGAAAATGCAGTTTTTTGTATTGTTCACATTTTCAATCACATTTATATCCAAAATCCTTCTGGATTTTTATTTTATTCCAAAAGAAACATTCATCTAAAGCACTTCTTTTTCCAATGCCCACAACTCATCCTCCAAACCAGCTTCCCTTCACAGTCGACACTTTCCTTCATTCATTCATTTCGCTCTGTACAGTCCATCTTAAATACATCAGTCACTTTTTGAATCTTCTCATCCAACTAAAACAATCTTTATGTAACATTAGCTTGTCCATACATTAGCTTAAGTGAAGATGTACATAGAATATAGTCTGGTTTCAACACATCATTTTTCTTCAAACAGTTTAATCTGCATTGAAATTAACTTCACTCTATTTCTTTAAGTTAAGGAGTCAATAAATACATAAATAAAAAAATATAAAGTGTGTAAAAATATAGCATCTTGCATTATATATCAGTCTTAAGGATTTGAGGTGAAGGCAACTGAACAGCACAGCAGCGTCGATGTTAAAAAACATCTCAACCGGTCCAGAAACCAAAGCTTTAGATGTGTTCTTTGACTCTTCATCAGTTCACAACCATTAGATGAAGTTCTCCGTCCGATCAGAAACCTCCGCCAGTTCAGAAACCATGCAATTCAGAAACATCTCTCAGCCAGTTTATAAACACTTCGATCAGTGCAGAAACTTCTCCATCAGTCCACACACTGTCTTTATTCTGTGTGCAGTATACCGGCCAGCCGGTCCCAGTGGGTGAAGTAGGGGGCATAGTTGCACTTGGACATGAGGTGATGGAGGTCATGATGGCGGGCCCCGCCGTACAGCCCCAGAGGCACCAGACGGTGGGTGGCCCAGGGCAGGTTGAAGCCACAGTGGTCCTCCACCGACAGCCAGATGTTCACCACGAAGAAGGCCAGCTCCGTGAGTGGGTGGCAGCCCAGCAGGAAGGGGTTGATGGCGGCGAAGAAGCCCAGGCTGAGAGTCTCCCAGGCTCCTGTGTACTCAGTGGTGAGGGCAGAGGTGGTGGTGTAGGTATGGTGCACCTGGAGGAGGAGAAGAAGAAACATGAGGTTGGTGGAACAACACTTCCTAACTTTTTTAAATATCAGAAAAATATTGAAAGGACATTTTAAATGACTGGACCTCTGTTCTGTTTTTTCTATTCTACTGTAATTTCTGACACCAGCTCCTCAGGTGAGGTAAAACTCTGACAGTTTTAAACACTGGAACAACAGAGGAGGAATCTGAGACGATTTAAAAGCTACAAACCTTGTGGACGTTGCAGTAGAGCCAGGGCACCTTGTGGTGCACCAGGTGCCAGATGAAGCTCTGAAAGTCGAAGAACAGGAGGCAGACCAGCACCTGAGCCAGCAGGCAGGGGAGGGTCGGGGCCTGTGTGGGCAGGTGGACCGACCTCAGGTACCAGTGGATCACAGTGAGTGGGAAGATGAAGACCAGATGGTTGTAGAGAGTCAGAGCCAAACAGCTCCGCACTGAGGACCAGCTGACAGAGCTCTGAGGATGCAGCTTGTACCTGCGCACCAGGGCCCACCTGGAGGACAGCACTTCCAGCAGCAGGAAGGGCAGGCAGAAGAACAGGTAGACAGAAATGGAGAAGAGGATGGGGAAGAATGGGGAGAGCAGGAGGGACGAGTGTCCCAGGAGGAAGGTCCAGAGAGGCTGCAGCAGCATCATGTTGTCAGTCTAGTCTGAGTCTTGGTTTCACAGAATACTTTCTTCACCACAGCTGCTTTTATAAGACTCAGCCCTGCGCACCATGACCGGAGCCCCTCCCCCATGTCCTTATAGGGCTTGTTCCTACTGTAAGGAGCCGTCAGCGCCATAGTCAGTATAGGCAAATACTAAGGGCGCCAGAAATGGAGGAAGAAAAAAAGTGTAACTTCCACTATTCTTAAAACTAGACTTCAGAAAAGAATAAGCCCACCACATTAATTTAACTGCATAGCAGCAAAGCCTACTAAGTAGTAGTAGTAGTAGTAATAATAATAATAATATAGCCTACTTGCCTAAGACGCCTCCCCTCTCTTCCAAATAATCCGACTTTACCTGCTACACGGTGTCGTTTTTTGATGGGTCAACAAGCTCAACATGTCAAAACGTCCCAAACTGTCTGGTGCCCAGGGGAGGAAAAAAAGAAAAGAAGAGGAGGAAAAACTCGATAAAGACAGAGGTAATGTTACGGTAAAGATTATGTCAATGATAGTATTTAGCTGTTTCCCAACGATGACTGATAACACCATAATCGCCATTAACAATTAGCATAACAACATGGTTTGCTAATCAATAAATAGCTAGCGCTATCTATCTGTTAACGTCGTCAGATAATGTTATGGAAGGGCCTAGTTGTTATGGAAAATAGTAATGTAACTACCCCCATCATTCCTCCTCGGGCAAATGTGTAAATATTAGATCTATTCAGCAGGTGTTATAA